GGGCAGATCTGCCTTTGGCTCAGTCCAGGAGGCCCAGGGAGTGAGGCGTTGTTACCGAGGTTCCCAGAGGCGCTGGAGGAAAGCACTCTCCCTTACCCAGGGTGCCCGCATGGAGCCCTGGGGAGGCGAGGCTGAGACGTGACCGTGACATGATGACAGGTGGGGCAGAAGGAAGGCTCTTGCCTCCAGACTTCAGAGAGCTGCTGTCTGTCTTTTAGCATCAGCTTTCCAGACATAGGGACCTCAGGTGTATGCTTGTTGGCATGGCGGAAACACTCCCTAGGCACTTCCTGTGCGCCAGGTGGCGTGGGAAAGGCTCCCAGGGCATCTTCTCATGTAATCCTAAGAGAAGCGATGGGAAAGGGGGCTCCTGACACCTCCAACAGGAAGACCAAGGCTCAGAAAGGCCAAGTGACCAGCCCAAAGTGACAGAGCCGCACACGGCAGAGGCCGGCTGGGGGCTCCAGAGCTCTCCCCAGCTCTCGAGCGTTGCCCCACCCCGGGCCTGTATCCCTGAGCCAGCCAGGGACGGGCCTCGCTCCTCTTTACCCTTCCACCTTCTGTCTCCAGATAACAGGCCCCTGGAGAAGCCTGTGGATTCGATACGGGTATGATCCCCGAAAAAACCCAGATGCCAAGATTTATCAAGTCCTTGATTTCCGAATCCGTTGTGGAATGAAATACGGTAAAAATAACTAAAACCTTGCCTTGCTGTCTCTCTCTCTCTCACTATCTTTTTTCTGCTAGTATTCTCTTTTGTGGGGATGATCGACGTGGGAAAGATAAAAAAAACCTTTGCTTCTTGGTGACATCTTTGTAGAATAGCGTAGAAGTGGGGGTCCCAGCTGGAGTCCTGGCTCCATCGCTGGCCCTCGAGCTGCTGACCCCGCTGTTCATCCACCCGGTTATTCTCACTGCTGGCTCCCACAGTGGGGGCCAGGCGCCCGGTAAGCATCCGGACCCCTGGCCTGTGGTGAGCCACTGCTCGCGGTCCTGTAGGCTGGCGCTGGAGTGGTGGCTGCTGGTACCTGTGCGTGGGGGCCTGGCATTCCTTTCTCAGGAGCCGGCCCCAGTGAAGCCCTGGTGCGCCGATGGCACAAAGCCAGTTCTGGGGGCCGGAAGGGCCTCTGCGCCCACTTGCTCCCGTCACGCCTTTCCCGGTCTGCAGGCTACGCCCCGAGTGATATGCCCGTCAAGGCCAAGCGCAGCACCTACAACTACAGCCTCCCCATCACCGTCAAAAAGATGCGTGAGTGCCTCTGCCCACTGCTGGCTCGGGGCTGGTTTGCCCTCACACTGAAAGACACTGAGGAAGATGGGTCCCTGGGCCGGTGGGGGAGGGGGTCCCAAGGGGCTGCCCCAGGGCGCTGCTGACCAGCATGCCAGGGAGGGGCGGGGAGAAACGTCCCTTTTATTCCCAAGTACTGCTGCTGTCCCCTCACAGCCAGCCAGCTCGTCACCATGCATGACCTGAAGCAGGGCCTGGGTCCATCGGGGACGCCTGGCACACGGAAAGCGACCTCCAACAAGTACAAGCTCAAGGTGGGTGCCCCCCGAGCCCCAGAGGAGAGCAGCAGCCCACCTGCTCAAGGGCACAGCGGACCGTGGAGAGGAGGCACCTCCCTCGTGCAGGCCGGGCGCACTCCTGCTCCCAGAGTCCCTAGTCGAGGCCACCAGGAGGGGGTTGGACAGGCAGCTCTGCCCACTGGTGCCTTCCAGGACAGCCTTGGGAAGCATGCCAAGGGCTTGGTGTGAACCACCCAGCCCCGTGGCCACTCAGGACCATCTGGGCGTGGCTCAGAGAGGGATGGGTGACACCAGCAACTGCGCGTGGCTGCCTTTTGTGAGCCTGTGGCCCCTGCCCGGATGGGCCACGTGGTGTGTGCGCGTGTGTGCAGAGCCACGGCAGACCGCCCGGCCCCTCACTGTGGGTGGAGTGGGGTACTGAGGTCCTCAGCACTCTCGACGGCTGGAGTCTGTGGGCTTCGCACCCCCTTGGGCTCTGTCCCTAACCCGGCTCAGCTGCCTCATGCTGGGAGGGTTGTTTGCGGGGAGGCACGTGCAGCTGACACGGGAGGGGCAGGTAAGGAGACAGGCGCCATCCGTGTCCTCTTCTCATGAGGCCGCCATGTCTTGGCCTCAATGGCTGTCCTGCTCCTCAGGCTGTGTCATTCAGGCCACCATCCCTATTTCTAGAAAATGGACACTCAGTAAACCCTGCTTCTCAGCGGGCTCCATGTGGGGCCCAGTTGGTAGGAGGTGATGAGGAACGAGGGCAGACTGTAGAAGGCTCGCAAAGCTGGCATGACAGTCTGCACCCTAGCACATGGTGGGCCACACAGGTGGCTCATGGCCCCAGGGCCGAGGGCGTCAGAGCCTCTGGATGCCAGCTCCTAGTCCCCGGCCTGTCCAGACGGCCTGAATCCGGGGGGGTTGGGAGTGGGGAGTCAGGCCTGCCAGGCGCGAACCGGCCAGGGAGCGCTCTGAGCTCTGACGCACTGTCCCATCCTCCTGTCCTCTCCCCAGGACTCGGTCTACATCTTCCGGGAGGGGGCCTTGCCGCCTTATCGACAGATGTTCTACCAGTTGTGTGACTTGAACGTGGACGAGTACGTACTGAGGGTGGGGATGGTGGCGCTTGGGACCAAGGCCTTCCCTGCCCCTCTTCCGCTGGGCGTCAGCCTCTGTGGGAAGCCCTGCCTGGGCAGCAGGTGCTGGGGTGCCTCCGTCAGCCTCGTGGCCCACAGGAGCAGTTTCTGGGATCCGCCTGGGCTGCGCCCCTGGGCAGAGAGCTGCAATCCCCCTCCTCCATCACGCACGTGAAGGCTCGGGACACGGTTCCTGTGGCCCCCCCACCCGGCCGTCCCCAGAGCCCAAGCGACCTCCCAGCCAGTTGTTCTCAGTCATGTTTAAAAGGGGTGGCGGGGGGCACTGGGATGGGAAGAGGCGGGAGCACGTTAGATGCAGCAGAATCAGGTGAGAGCCTGGGGTTCCGCAGGAAAGTACACATGTTCCCCCCGAAGTGTGCAGCTTGGGGGCGGGGCCCACATTGGTTGGGATCTCAGCTGGGAACGGCCGGCTCCCGTGGGTGCTCCCCTCGTGGGTGCTTCTCAGCACCACGCTCTGCCCTCTGCACGGCCGTCTGCGTGCGGGCGTTCCCAGCGCCGGCCCACCTCTGCCGCACCCTGGGGCCCCCGTCAGCGGAGCTCCCCCAAACACCGAGTCTCAATCCCCAGGCTACAGAGGATTATTCACCGCAACGACGGGGCCGAGACCTGCTGCACGGAGCGCGATGGCTGGTGCCTTCCCAAGACTAGCGATGACTTGAGGGACACGATGTCCCTCATGATCCGGCAGACCATCCGCTCTAAGAGGCCTGGTGAGCGCTCGGGGTGCAGGGGGCCCCACGCTGGGACAGGGCAAGAATCCCTACAGGCCCCGTTTCCCAGTAAATTACACCCTAGTGGAATTATCCCACTGGAAGCCACATCCCCCAGGCTGCCCGCCTCTCCCTGGAAGGGAGTCAGGCTGCTCAGCCCAGGAGGGTCAAGGCAGGAGACAGGCCCGGAGGGCAGGGCTAGAGCCGGGCTGAAACCACTGCTTTGTGCCCTGACACCCCCCACCTCTTCCAGCCATCTGGGGGTGCGTCCTGCCTATCTCTTTGCACCGGGAGAGCAGGGGCAGCAGGTGTGGGGGACCAGGCAGCCCTGGCTGCTGGTGGTGGGATGTGGGGAGTAGGGAACACTTGCTGGTCTGTGGGTCTGATGAGGCGGGGGCGTGTGAGCGAGAGCAGCCCCAGATTCCAGACCCCGCCGGACTCCCTGGAGCTGACGGGTGTAGGGACTCCCAGCCTCGTTTGGGACGCAGCCCTGTCTGAGAGTCTCTGCTTGAGGCTCTCGACCCTTTTTCCGGGAAAAAAACTCACAGCACTCCTGCACACTCTCGGGGTCCCTTGGACCCGTGAAGCTACCCAGGTTCTGGGGACGTGGTTTTCAAAGCTGTTGGCTTCCGTGGTCCCCTGAAGTGCTTGTTACACTGTGGAGTGCCAGGCCCCCTGGCCCTCTGTACTTCCCCAGGCAGCTGCTCCAGGGCCTGAGCCCAGACACCCGTCATTGTAAACAGGCCTCCAGCAGCCCGATGGCCGGTCCGGACGTGCGGCTGTCTGGCACCTCTCTCGGGCTGAGGCCAGCAGTAGCTGGTCTGCTACCCAGGAAGCCTGTGCTGAGACACACATGGCCTTGTCTTCTGGCCCCAGCTCTCTTCTCCAGCCCGGCCAAGGCCGACAGGGGGAAGGAGCCCCTGACGTACGAGTCTGGGGATGACGAGGAGGATGAGGAGGAGGAGGAGGAGGACTTCAAGCCATCCGATGGCAGTGACAACGAGATGGAGACAGAGATTCTGGACTACGTGTGACACAGCCCTGCTCCCAAGGCTGGGTGTCCTGATCACACAAGACTGGCGACGGAGCCGGGACAAGCCATGGCTCCCCAGTGCTGCCCACGGTAACCGGAGCAGCCCTGCGAGCCCCCCCTCCAGAGGAAAGCTGGGGTCTCGGCGCTGGGTACAGTTGACCCTGGTCCTCCCCGTGTGCCCGTGACACCAGCTGCACAGGGCTGCACTTTGGCCCCAGGTGCTTGGGGACATCCCCAGAGGGTGTGACCTGGCTTTACGTAGGCATGAGCCAGCCCAGCGTCCAGCAGGCTGAGCCGGTGCCCAACACCTCTCTCTGGCTGAGAACAGCAGAAGCTGGAGGGGGTGATGTGGCCAGGGGAGGGGGACGGCCTTGCCTCGGGGTTGATGGCTGGTCACCCACAAGGAAGCTGCTCCGTGGTCACAGATGGGCCAGGGCTGTCCTTGGGTTTGGATCCCATTCATCTGGGACCCAGCTGGAGTTGTTCTTACAAATACACGTTCCAAGGAGAAAGCAGTGTCTCGCTGTGGGGGTCGGAGCCACAGGACGGTTTCCTCTTGCAGGTTGGCGGGGAACAGCTGGGAGCGCCCCAGATTCCAGGCCCCAGATGGTCCTAGAGCCGCGAGCTCAGCCCTTACTGCTCCAGATGTGTTCTTGAGTAGTCCTGGGGACACAGACCGTGTTGTGTCTCCGCTCCCTGGTGTGAAACCAGAGGTAGTGCAGGGTTCTTGGGGGACGGAGCTGGCTCTCCCCGGGGAGCACTCCCACCCATGCCAGGGGACGGTTGTGCCAAGGCCCTGCAGAGCATCCTGGGCCAGAGATGAGCCCGATCACCCCCTTCCTCAGCCAGCAGACTGGGCTACCTATTGTAACAGGTCCCTAAGTCACATTCTAAAGTCCAGTGCCTCAGACAAGCCCGTCTGCTGCCCAGGCTCCAGGGGAGCCCTCTCAGAGGACAGATGAGGAGCCCCGTGGCTCACAGTTGGCCTGAAGTGGCTGGTCCTGGCCACCTGCCTTGCAGAGCGCCCCGTGGCCCCACTTCCTGCTGCTGGGGATCAGGAGGGGTCCCCTCCCCCATATTCAGAATAACTTCCTGTAGAGCAGGTTCTCAAAATTGGAAAAGCTGGACAGAAGGTGTGAGTTAACAAATCCCTGTCCTCGTGCGGGGCGGGGGCCTCAGGCTCTTTACCCGCTTGCCCGCACACCACGCAGCCGTAGGCACGCGAGCCCCAGCCCAGCCTGCACAGCCCCTTCTAGCTTTCCTAACACCTCCCACCCGCAGTCGCCCACCTGTCCCCGCCCTCACCACCTTTCTCCAGCCTCTCGCCCGCTCTGTCCCAAACCGTTCGGATCTGGAGGACAGGTTTGACGGCAGCAGACACAATGGCCGTGGGGCCGTGGCCTGCGTCCACGGCACAGGCTCCCGGGCAGCAGAGGGCCTGCCCGGGCCCAAGCAGCAGGGCTGTCGGCCTGATGGGGCTCCTCTGTCCCCTGGCTCGTGAATACGCCCCCCTCCCTGGAGGTGGGTCGTGCAGTAGGGCCTGGGCATCCTCGGTGAGCTATGACCCTGGGGGCAGCCGAACTCAAAGGCCCCATCACAGGCCTTGTCCTTGGCCTGCCTTTTCTCATAAGTAACCCCTGGTGACCAGAGTTCTGCACAGCCACAGGGAACTGGTTGCTTTTGCTGCCACCCCTACTTCTGTGCTCTGTTTTCTCCCTCCCACTCTCCCCCACCCCCATCTCCGTCCCTTCTGCTCTCTGTTGGTCGGTCTCCGTCTCTACTTGGCTTTGCCCCAGGGTCTTGCTGTGGCCCATTTTTGTTGCCAGAAAGCCTGGTTTTTCCTTTTCTTTAAGGAAGCCCTCAAGGTTGGGCTGGAGCCCCACTTCCCCCTTTGCCTTTTCCGCCTGAGCCTCTCGTCTTCCATCCCAGCACTCCGATCCCCTGTGCTGCTGGGGGTCCCCACACCTGGCTCAGACTGCACACCCAGCGGCCCTTGATAGCGAGGGGCGACCACACTGGCTGGCGAGTGGCACCCAGCCGTCTGTGTCCTAGAAGTCACACGCCCAGTTCCCGCCAAGCTCCTGCTGCTGAGCTGGGGACGGTGGAGGCAGGCCGCGGAGACCAAACATGCCCCTTTCTCTGAGAGCAGAACCAAGTGCCTGTGAGTCAGTGAGCCGGCTCACGGCGCTGTTCACCCGGGCAGCCGACAGCCTGGTGACCTTGTGCCCTGTGCCATCTGCCTCGGCTCCCAGGTGGGCAGTAAGCCGCACAGGTGCACTGTGGCGCCAGGGCCACGGGGCAGCCAGCCCTGGGAAAGATCGCCTGTTCCCACAGTGTTTGTGCATGCGAGTGTGTGCGCACGCGCATGGCCTGCTGCGTGACCTTGGCCCAGCGCGAGGTAGCTGGAAACAGCGGCTATCTCCTGGCCCAGGTTCACTGCCTGGAGTGTGGCCAGGCTGCAGGGAGGGGCTGAGGTAGGAGGAGGGAAAAGGGGCCCTCTGCGGGCAGCTGCCAACTCAGAGTCCTGGCCGGCTCCAACCCCATAAATATCCGTGGGGCAGCGGGAGGGCTGCACACAGGCTGGCGCACACCATGGGTCACCTGGGGCTGGTCGTCTTGGGCCTCACCTGCTGCTGGGCAGCTGTGAGCGCGGCAAAGGTAAGCGAGGGCCCAGCAGAGGGGCCACTGGCCTCTCACTAAGTGGGACCTGGGAACGGGACGGCACCGCGGAGGGAGGACAGGCAGGGTCATGGGCAGGAAGAGCCAACCTGAAAGGAACCCGTGGTCAAAATGACATTTCCTGGGCACTACATGTTTTGTGTATGTTCCCATTACAGGGTACAGCATGCCAAATTAAATCTGGATTTCATACAAATCACGAAGTTTTTGGTGTGGGTATGTTCTGTGCAGTATTTGGGGTATATTTACACTAAAAACAAAATCAATTTACGTGACATTCAAAGGCAACTGGGAGTCCTCAGTCTTTATTTCCTGAGTCTGGGGACCCAACACCCCCCTGGCTCTTTCCAGAGAGGTCGATGTCCCTTTTCATAGAAGGGGCCTGAGCAGACTAGCCGTCACCCAAGCTCACACAGCCACCAATGGCTGAACAGAAACCTGGAACCCCAGAGTGGCTCCCAACCTAACCTCCAGGTCCCAAGAGGGTGGTCCCCACCTGCTCGCTGGAGAGTCAGGAGGCCGCCCAGGGCGGGTACGCCATCGGCCGCAGTCTGCAGAACAGGGCAGGGAGAGGGCTTCAGGCTCAAAACCCCACAGACACATGGCTGTGTGGTGTCCACCCTCCTCCAGCTGTCCTGGGGCCTGCCCCTTGGCCCCGGAGGTTTAGGTGCTGGCCCCAAGAGGTCATGGTCTTCGGCAGGTGGGGGGGCCTTCTCTGAGGGCAGAAAGGGCCAGGATTGCTTCCCGCTGTTCCAGCAGCCAGTGTCCCCTCACCCAGGGCCCTCAGGCCAGTCTCAGTTCTGCGAGGTGACTTCCCAATCCCCAGGCACCGACCTGGCCTGCTGCCCCATCCCAGCAGCCGGGAAGCCTGTCAGAAAAGATGCCTGGAGGCCTGAAACCAGGCTGCGCTGCCCAGCAGGGAGAGGGGGTGCAGCTGGGGGAACAGACATGTGCCTTGCCCCCTTGAGGCACCTGGTGAGAGTTGCTCCGGCCTCCTCTCCAATTCCAACCTCCCCCCGCCCGGCCCCTGTTAGCCCCGACCTTACAGGGTGCTGAGACTCCAGTGGGGCCGAGGGGTGGGGGGCTGCCCTGCCCTAGGCCCTCTTGAAGCTAGCACCGGTGAGAGCCAGGAAGCAGACCCCCGCCAAGGGGCCAGACAGATGGGGAGGCAGCCCTAGCAGGGGATAAGAGCCTGGCTCTCCCACAGGGTGACCAAGCAGGCAGGCCTCAGTTCCTTTCTGTGACAAAGGGTAGATGAGCACCAGCCCCCAGAACCCTCCTGAAGATGGGCGGCATTGGCCACATGGAGCCAGCTGGGAGCCAGGGCTGGATGCACAGCAGGGATTCTGATGGCCTGGGGGGAGGTGAGGGGCTTTCTCAGCACTGAGCACAAGGGCTGTGAGGAGTTGGCACCAGGCCACTGACTCGAGACCAGCTGGACACGGTGGGGGGCAGGGGACACAAGGGAAGCACACGGGCCGTGAAGGAGACATTGCTGCTGCCCATCTTACAGATGGGGTAACAGCCTCGTGGTCACAGCTAGATGGCCATCTCCGAGATCCAGACCTCTACCCCACTTCCCCTGGCCTACTCGGAAGGCTACCCGGAGTGGGAACACACTGGTTGACCCAACTTCCCCCAAGATTCAGGGAGCAGGACACCCTCAGTGTCCAGGACCAAGGCAGAAAGCTGTGCCTCTAGCAATGAGGCAAGTGGCAGGGCTCGGGCACGTTGGCCCCTGCTGGAAGCGGTCTCTGGGGAGCCTCTGGGCGCCCTGGGGCCTGTTCAGGTTGCCGCCCACCCCCATTCGGGACACCCCCCGGGCCTGCCTGAGCCTCGGCCTCTACCCCCAGCTGGGCGCAGTGTACACGGAAGGAGGTTTCGTGGAAGGCGTCAACAAGAAGCTTGGCCTCTTTGGCGACTATGTGGACATCTTCAAGGGCATCCCCTTCGCTGCACCCCCAAAGGCCCTGGAGAACCCCCAGCGGCACCCCGGCTGGCAAGGTGGGAGAGGGCAGGGGCCGGTGAGGCCGCGCGCCTGGGAGGGCCGTGGGGCGGCTGCCATCCTCACACCTGCCCCACGGGCCGCCCGCAGGAACCCTGAAGGCCAAGAACTTCAAGAAGCGGTGCCTGCAGGCCACCATCACCCAGGACAACACCTACGGGGCAGAGGACTGCCTCTACCTCAACATCTGGGTCCCCCAGGGCAAGAAGGAAGGTGGGTTCGCCCTCCCCACACCCCACAGGTGGCCCCCAAGCCCTGCCCTCGTGTCTGGGGGGCTCCAGAGCCAAACTTCCCTGCGATCGACACGGTGCGGAGGGAGCTGGGGGTGGGGGGCGGCATCTGGGGTGACCGGACCTGCTCTGCTCTGCCTTAGTCTCTCGGAACCTGCCCGTCATGATCTGGATCTACGGAGGTGGCTTCCTCATGGGGTCCGGCCACGGGGCCAACTTTCTCAGCAACTACCTATATGACGGGGAAGAGATCGCCACGCGGGGCAACGTCATTGTGGTCACCTTCAACTACCGCGTCGGGCCCCTGGGCTTCCTCAGCACTGGGGACGCCAACCTGCCAGGTCCGCCAGCTGTCCTGGGCACCGGGGCGGGGGATCAAGTGCGCCCCACCCCGTGAGCTCTGAGCCGGGCGGGGGTGCCCCTCAGCTCCCATCGTGCTCGAGCAGCTCCCGCCAGTCCTCCTAGAAAGGCCCAGAATCCCATTTGCAGAGCCAGGGAGTTGGAGAGGCGCTGTGAGAGGCAGAAGCTCCTTGGCTGCTGGAGCGAAAGAACAGAGGCTGCCAGACAGACGGACAGACAGACAGAGTGGGACCCAGAGGCCTGGGGAGCAGGTGCAGGGAGCCCAGGGAAAGAGACAGAAGATAAGACTTTGCCAGGGCAACACAGGAGCTGCAGGACAGCCAGACAGACAAGGGTGGCTGTGGGAGGGAGGGAGAGAGAGGAGCAGACCTGTCCTCTTGCTCCCCCCGCCCCGTCCCCAGCCTGAGCCCCACACCTGCCCCAGCAGCCCACCCAGCCAGCCTCCAGGAGACCCACCATTCAACATCTGGGGGCTCAGTCAGGGTCTGTGCGCAGTCGAGGACATTCTCAGCCCGCACATGTGCACTGTGCACCCCATATGGGCCAGGCCCTGGCACCCCCAGACTGGGCCACAGATCCCTGACGGAGCCCCCTCTCCCACGCTGCCCCCAGGTAACTTTGGCCTTCGGGATCAGCACATGGCCATCGCTTGGGTGAAGAGGAACATCGCAGCCTTCGGGGGGGACCCCGACAACATCACTATCTTTGGGGAATCAGCTGGAGGTGCCAGCGTTTCTCTACAGGTCTGGGGGCCCCGGAGTTGGGACCTGCCCCTGAGGGTGTGGGAGGGAGCCACTGGGGGCAGGGAGGAGAGGGCCTAGAACTGATGCGTGAGGTGTCCTTGGCTAAGCCCGGGGTGGGCAGGTGGCGTGAGGCCTTGGTGACGGGACCTGTGTGTGCTGCAGACCCTCTCTCCCTACAACAAGGGCCTCATCCGCCGAGCCATCAGCCAGAGTGGCGTGGCCCTGTGCCCGTGGGCCATCCAGAGGAACCCCCTCTTCTGGGCCAAAAGGGTAAGGTGGAGCTGTGGTGGGCAGGGGAGGGGCCTCCCTCCTTTCCACTCTGTCCTGGACTGCGGCACCCTCTGCCCAGAACACTGGCCTCACCCACCTGCCTACCCCCGACTCCAGATCGCTGAGAAGGTGGGCTGCCCCTTGGACGATACCGCCAGGATGGCCAGGTGTCTGAAGGTTACCGACCCCCGCGCCCTGACACTGGCCTACAAGATGCCCCTGGCCGGCACAGAGTGTGAGTGGAGGCTGCTGGGCAGGGCCCGGGGGGCTCGGGGTCAGGCGACAGCCATGCTCCTGGAGAAGAGAGGGGCTGCGGGCTGTGAGGCTGGCCTGGCCCCGGATGGCTGGCCTCCCGCGGCAGCGTGCTTCCCCCAGCACCCTCGCAGGCTCAGTCGCCCGGCTGTAAGGAGCGGAGACATTCTTTCTCTGTACCCCAGTGGGTCATGACCCCTTTAAGAAGCAGATGACCACGTGGGCTCCACCCCCCGACAAGGCACACATCCGTGGTCATTTGGGCACAATTTTAGGGAGACTCATGGACCCAAAACCAAGAGCCTTTGTCCTAGACGGTCATTTGTTCTCCCTGCTACTCATGCAGTCAGCATGCACCCACCAAGCACCCACAGGAGCCTCTGGTCCTCCCAGCTCTGCTCCTCTGGGCCCGAACGCTGGGGAGCCCGACAGCCCAGTGGGCTGGGATTAGCCCTTGCTCACCCTTCCGATGCTAAGTAAGAGACCCCATCATTTGCGTCTTGACCTGATGCCAATTAAACCATAGTGTTCTGAGCAAAGCGGACGCAAAGCAACCACGTGGCCCCACCTGCCAACCAGTCGTTCCCTCTGGTGTGCACTGGGAGGAAAAGCAGCCGGCCTGGGCCTCCCGAAGGCCGCTGCCTCCACGTGCCCTGAGCCAGCTCTGCAGTCCTTTTGGGGCCAGCTCAGGGGGTCTGCAGGACAATGAGGACCTCGCAGTTTCTGGCGAACACGCTGGAACCCAGCCCCGAGAGGGGGTGAGCCTCTTTCATCATCCGTCCTCTCAATTCCTTCCCCATCTTCCTCCCAGGGGCTGGAGGGAGGACAGCCTTGGGCTCCAGACCGGTGGTGTTCTGCCTGGGCGGTTCTGCTCCAGCACGCATGACCACGTTGGGAGACAGTTTTGATTGTCACGACTGCAGAAGGGGCGCCACAGGCATCCCGCGGGTTGAGGGATGCGGCTGGACATCCTGCAGGGCGCTGGACCTCGGATTATCCCGCCCTTAATGTTGGCGGTGCTGAGGCCGGAGAAGCCGGGCCTGGGTCAGAGGAGGCGGGAGGTCGGGCTGGAGTCGAGTCTGGGTGCAGGACGTGTCAGAGCCCGCCTCTCTCCCACCCAGATCCCATGCTGCACTATCTGGGCTTCCTCCCTGCCGTGGACGGAGACTTCATTCCCGATGACCCCGTCAACCTGTACGCCAACACGGCCGACATTGACTACATAGCGGGCACCAACAACATGGACGGCCACATCTTTGCCAGCTTCGACATGCCCGCCATCAACAAGAACAGCCAGGAGGTCACGGAGTAAGCAGTGGGCGCGGGGCCTGGGGGGCGGTGCCCAGGGGTGGCTGACAGAGGTCAGACCCAGGTTTGGGGGGCATTCTGTGGCCCTCTGCTGGGTGGGGGTGCAGATACCCTCCCACTGGCACTGGGTAGAGGGTCCAGTGCTGGTGTGATCCCTGCAGAGAGGACTTCTACAAGCTGGTCAGCGGGTTCACCATCACCAAGGGGCTTAGGGGTGCCAATGCCACCTTTGGCATCTACACTGAGCCCTGGGCCCTCGACGCATCCCAAGAGACCAAGAAGAAGACCGTGGTGGACTTGGAGACTGACATCCTCTTCCTGGTGCCCACCGAGATTGCCGTGGCCCAGCACAGAGCCAATGCCAAGTGAGGACCTGGGCAGGGAGGCCCCCTGGGGAGGCCCACCCACCTGGGATGGAGCACCTGAGCCCTCAGGCCTCTTGGGAGGCTGGCTCATGGGTGTCTGCGAGGCCTGGGAAAGCCGGGCTTGGGTCCCCACCTGGGCCTGTGCCACCTGCTTTGTCCAGGCCTGATGAGACCTGAGAGGGCCCCTCCCTACCTCCCAGCCTCAGGGGGCTTTGCAAAACCCCCCTGCGATCCTCTGGCCGGCCTGGCACCCTGTGCCCTCTCTCACTCCACAGTCCTTCCCACTGAAAAGTTCTTGAGCTGGTCGACCTTCCCCTCGTGCTGCATGGAAGGAAAGAACCCTGGGTGATGATGGTCTCTGTTGTGGGTTCAGCTTGACCTACTTTCAAAATAACTTCCAAAGTAACTTAGGCCTGGGACCACATTAAAAATCTCTATATGATAATAGCCAATGAAATTAAACAAAAGTTAAGAATGTTTAAAAGTAAGAAAACAGTATACCCGGCATCTAGAGAAAGCTTCGCAGCAGCTAAGCAGTAAATGTAGCTCTGAGCTTCCTGTCAGTCAAGGCAAAAAGGGAAACATCTGATGGTATATAGCTTGTTCAATTAAATTAAGATATACATTCACTTGCAGGACAAAAAAGATCTTTCTTGATACTGAATTACAGGAGAAAGCTGCCTTAGTGGGTTTTGTGGAGGTGAATTATCAACACAACTGAAATCGTAGATGCCCTGAATCTGTGGCTTTGGCCCACGGCTTTCCCTTTCCCAGGTGTCAGCATCCCAGCTTCTTCATGAGGCTTGTGGGAATTCCCCAGACCCTTCCCTGCTCCCCCCATGGCTCCCTCCGGAGCCCACCCCTGCGCTGGGTGGCCTCAGGTGAGCACCTTGCCAGCGTGGGTGCTCTCCCCTTCCCTCCTCAGGAGTGCCAAAACCTACACCTACGTGTTCTCCCACCCCTCTCGGATGCCCACCTACCCAAAATGGATGGGGGCTGACCACGCAGATGACCTCCAGTATGTCTTTGGGAAGCCCTTCGCCACCCCCCTAGGCTACCGGACCCAAGACAGGACGGTCTCCAAGACCATGATCGCCTACTGGACCAACTTTGCCAGAACTGGGTAAGGCAGCAGGGAGGCTGAGCCCAGAGCCCCTGCCACCTGGCCCTGCGGGCCTGGGTTCTAGTCTCTGTTCCCTCACTTACACGTAAGCTCCTCCAGCCTCGGTACCTCTGTCTGTCTGTGAGGCCGGGGTACTGCCCGGGGCCCTGGGATCAGCACTGCCTGGGGCTCCACGTGCCCAGCCAGGGCCAAGGCGCCATCCTGCGAGGGGCCCCGACGGTAAGGGCGGTGCAGAGCGGGGAGGGCTGTCCAGGCAAGCCAGGGCCCAGGTGGGCGAGGGACACAGGTCTCCAGCCTCCTGTGAGTCCCCAGCCCCGCCCAGCCTTTTTCTTGCCTGCAGGGACCCCAATATGGGACATTCGGCTGTGCCCACGCACTGGGATCCCTACAGCATAGAAAATGGCAACTACCTGGAGATCACCAAGAAGATGGACGGCAATTCCATGAAGCAGCACCTGAGGACCAGCTACCTCCGCTACTGGACCTTGACCTTCGAGGCCCTGCCCACAGTGAGCGGAAATGGGGCCATCCCTGCGCCCCCCTCGGGGGACTCTGAGGCCGCCCCCGCTCCCCCCTCCGGGGATTCTGAGGCCGCCCCCGCTCCCCCCTCGGGGGACTCTGAGGGAGCTCAGATGCCTGTAGTCATCAGCTTCTAATGTCCTCGACCCTAAGAAGCCATAGGGTGAGACCCCAGGGGGCCCACTTCCCCTCCAGAGCTCCTCCCGAATAAAAGCTTCATCTGTCTGGCATCTTCCTTTGCTCCCAAGGCCCTAGCTGGAGGAAGCAGGGCTCTCAGGCTCAGGCCCAGCCACTGGGCCGACCGCCTTCCCCTGGGGTCCGTCAGTCTTCAAGCTCCAGGAAGTCTGGAGAACGACCCTCCCTCTAGCGAGGAGGAGACAGGTTTGAAGACGTGAAGTGTCAGAGCAGGACCGGGCTGCAGGTGTGGGTCCCCCCACCCTGGACTGCTGCTTCCCAGGGGGCACGGTGGGCAGTGGCCACAGGTGAGAGAGGACCTGGGCTCTGGGGGCTGTTGCCTCCCCTGGACCGGTGGAACCTGGCAGCACCAGCTCCTCTGGGGCTCGGCAGGGACCTCCGTGTTCTAACTGGGGTCTGGGCACCTGGCCTGGGAGGAGGAACGGACTCTGCTTCTAGCTGGATGTGAGTTGAAGAGAGAACAGAGCTTCACACTGGAAGGTCAGAAGCAAAAGTTGTAAGGGGTTTGGGCATTGGGTGGCTCTGGCAGAGTTGGGGGCGGGAGGCGGAGGTCAGGGTCAGGGTCATTCCCACATCTGGGAGTCTGGGCATCCTTCATTGGGCGGCGAACTTAAGCAGCCTGAGGTCACCATGGCCACAGTGAGGGGTCGGGGACGCCAAGAGGGGGTCATACACCTCAGATCATGAAACTCCAAAGCTAGTGCTCGAAACGATGTTGGGGGGTGTCTTCCCCACCCCTCACCCATTCTTTTGACTCTGTGAGGCCGTGCTGAAGGCTCAAAGGAGAGAAGATTCTGGAGTCCTGAGTGGCTCTGCCTGGTGGTGGGGGGTGGGACTGGAGACAGCAGCCGCCGCGAGGCAGCCAACACGCTTTCCCTCTCTAGCCACAGATGGAAGACTGAGGTCTGGGGAACTGAGTCCTGTGGCCGCCATGCAGCAGAGCTGCAGGGGGGCAAACCCGTCCCCCCAAGAAGGAGGGTACAGTCAGGCTGGCGTGGGACCGCCGTGGCTACGCTGGGCTTCCTGGCTTAGTTGAGGGCTCTCAGGGGTGAAGAGGGGATTCCTTGTCACAGACTGAGGAGATGGGCCCTTGTGGCAGTGTGGGCCTTTTCTGGTGACCGTCCCTGCTCTTGGCCAACAGAAGCACAAGGATCCAACAGTGGGTCCCTCCTCTGCCACAGTAGTTTGCACACGACTTCTCTAAGTGTTTCTGCCTACTCTCAGGAGCCTCCTGGCACTGCAGGAGAAACCTCACACCCCATGGCCTCCGACGCACCCCAGACTGGCCCTGGGACGGGCACTTCCAGCCCTTACTGGGGGAAAGCGCAGCTGTGCCTGCCTGTCATTCAGAAAATCGCATCCCGGGAGGGCTGGGCCGAGTCAGAATGGCTGGGGGCACTGGGATCCGGGCTGTGCCCAGCCCCCGGGCTGCACGGAAAAGGCCTCTCCGGCTAAGGCAGCCTTGCTGGATGTCTGGGGGCCTGGGGGACACCTGCCGCTGTTGGGTCATCCCACAATTCCTCGGGCTTTTACCTTTACAGCCCATAGCCAGAGCATGAGGTTGAAAATACAGCTGATCCCTGAACAGCATGGGGGTTAGGCCAGCCGACACCGCCCCCCACCGTCAGAAATCCACATATAATGTTTGACTCCCCAAAAATGTAACATCTAACACCTTACTGTTGACTAGAAGCCTCATAGGTAGCACAAACGATTAACGCATACTTTGTGTTTGTATTATACGTTATCTTCTTTCAATAAGTAAGCAAGAGAAAAGAGAATGTTAAGAAACTCATACGGCAGGGATGCCTGGGTGGCTCAGTGGGTTAAAGCCTCTGCCTTTGGCTCAGGTCATGATCCCAGGGTGCTGGGATCAAGCCCCACAGCATCGGGCTCTCTGCTCAGCAGGGAGCCTGCTTCCCCTTCTCTCTGCCTGCCTCTCTGCCTACTTGTGATCTCTGTCAAATAAATGAATAAAATCTTAAAAAAAAAAAAAAAAAAAAAAAAATCAAAAAGGACAGAAAAAAACATTAAAATCCTGGACCCAAAAGGAGAAAAACCCAAGTGAAACCCCCCCCCCACCCCCGCAGCACAGTTGAGGGGCAGGCTGGCAGCTGTCCAGGGTCCTGGAGCCTCCCCCCCAACCCCCACTCACCTCCAGGGGGCCAGGAGTTAACCTTTATGTTAACCTTTAATGGTGATGCCCAAGGAGGACAACTGGGGAAGCTGAGGACAGCCCCTGTTTACCACCCTAGTGACACATCTCACTGTGTCCTTGGGTCGGCAGTCTTGGCGGGATTCCTCCCCCTCTCTCCCCTGCCTCATTTTTCAACCCTCCCTGCAGGAAAGTTTCGAACGACCCCCTTCCTCCGTGACATAACCAAATCACAGACCTGGGCAAAGAACACGGCTATCCCAGGGGGCTGGAAGCTCTAAGGGCTCTGGCCTAGCTCCCTTTTAGGACAAGTCGGTACCAACAAGACCGAGGCCACAAGCTGGTGATTGCACGATCTGGTGGACTTCAGAACCACATGGTCTGGGAATTCGTCTTGGCCAGTGGGGGGGACTGGGTGGTCTTTCATGGGCAGGACTCTGCACCCTTACCCTCACAAACCAGCACCGAACTGGAATTCGTCAGACCCCAGCCAGGATGAGTGGCCCCCGTGTGCCTGGCCGAGAGAGGTGGGCAGGGTAGAGGCTTCTGAAGTGTTTCTGGGCAAAATCAATTATATGAAGAGTTGCAGGAAGGTGGAAATCCTAGGTCACAGGTAGAAGAAGTGCTTAAGGAATAAGGCTCAGCTGAAGCCTTAAGTCTGGTTTGTAATCTTTCCCCTGGATTCAAAGCAAGCTCAGAAGACGGTCTACGGACGGAGGTTTGCAGTTCAGGTAAAGGGCTGACCACGGGCCCCTAGAGAGAACTTAGGACGCCAAGTCCTGCTCGACCATAGTCCACTGGCTAATAACCTGCCCCTGGCCTTTTCCCTCCCACATTGCACATTTTGATCTGTTTACAATCCTAATCCCCACCCCCGCTACTTAATGCTGATGGAATTCAAATCTAACCCTGAAACCTCTAAGTTCCTAACTGGTCATAAGTTCCTCGTCCTAAACCCCAATAAAACAAGCAGAAAATGCTTCCTCTTCCTCGGAAGCTAAGAAAGCTAAGAAAGGCAGCTGCCGCACTGGGTCAGGAAATGGTCCTTGCAAACGTTATTGTTTAAAAACCAGCATAAAGGGGCGTCTGGGTGGCTCAGTGGGTTAAAGCCTCTGCCTTCGGCTCAGGTCATGATCCCAGGGTCCTGGGATCAAGCCCCACTTCGGGCTCTCTGCTCAGTAGGGAGCCTGCTTCCTCCTCTCTCTCTGCCTGCCTACTTGTGATCTCTGCCTGTCAAATAAATAAATAAAATCTTTTAAAAAAACAGCATAAAATATATACAACATAAAACATGCCAATTTAACTACTTCTAAGACACGATTCAGTGACATTAGTGCCGTTCGTACTGTTGTGCAAACATCACATACCGAGTTCCAGAACTTTTTCGTCACCCCCGACAGAAACTTTGTATCCATTGATCAATAACACCCTGTTGTCCCTTCTCCCCTCCCCCACCTGGTAGTCTCTTCTATTTTCTGTGCCCCTCAGTTTGCCTGCTCTAGATATTTCTAGATATACCTGAAGTGGGACCGCCGTGTTTCCAAGGTCCGTCTGTGTTGCGGCGCGTCACAGCGCCAGCCCTCCTGACGGCTGGAGCCACTCCCAGCGTGTGTCGCTGTCATACGGTTGTCGCGGCACTTCCTCACAGTCCTTTAGTTCCTGTGCAGCTGGTAGGGATGTTCCCGCTTTCACGGCAGATTCCCGCACCACACTTCTTGGTCCGTCTCACTAAAAGGTTTGTCGGCTTTGGTGGTTCTTTTTCTAGTTCCTTCAAGTGCTATCGTTCGGTTACTGACTTGAAATCTTCCTTCTTCTGTAATATAGGCATCGGCTGCTAGAAATTCTGCTGTTAGCCCTGCTTCCGCTGTGTCCCGTAACTTACAGTACGTTGCGTTTTTGTTTCCACTTGTGTCAAGTTATTCTCTGACATCCTTCGTGATTTCTTCTTTGACCCCCGGGTTATTGTGCTGCTTCATTTCCACATTCTTTTGAGGAGCCCGTGTTCCTTCCACCTTTCCCTTCTGTGCTGCTTCTTTTTTTGTATTTGACAGAGAGAGAGAGAGTGAGATAGTGCGCAGGGGAGAGGGAGAAGCAGGCTTCCCGCTGAGCAGGGAGCCCGATGAGGGGCTCGATCCCAGGACCGCGGGATCACGACCAGAGCCAAAGGCAGACGCTTAACAACTGAGCCACCCAGGCGCCTTTGCCTTCTGCTTCTATCCCACCTGATTGGAAAAGATACTCACATATTTCATTCTTTACAATTTATTAGGACTTGTTTCGTGGCCTCACAGATGGCATGTCCTGGGGAATGTCCCATGTGCCCTTGAGAAGCCCGTGTGCCTGGCTGCCGTTGTGAAGGCCTCCGCTTCTGTGCGCCGGGTCTGACAGAGTGTGGTTTAAGTCCTCTGTCCCGAGCCATCGTCCACCCGGATTCTCCCAGCCATTGTTCAAGTCACGTAGTCAGGTCTCCGACTCCCTTTAAAAAGATGTCAGGTTTTGCTTTAGGGATGGAGGGTTACAACTGTTATTTTTTTCTTGATGAATGGAAATTTTTATCGGGGCATACTGACCTTCTTTGTCTCTTGTTAGCTTTTTGACTTAAAATCAATGTTGTCAGATAATAGAGCTGCCCCAGCTGTTTACTGTTCTGGTGGAATCTTTTCCTACCCTTTTATTTTCAACCCTTTTGCAGATTTCTCTCAAAGGGAGTCTCTTTGGGGGCACCTGGGTGGCTCAGTTGGTTAAGCATCTGCCTTTGGCTCAGGTCATGATCCAGGGGTCCAGGGA